CTGTGTGATTCTATTTGCATAAAATTCTAAAAAATGCAAACTAGTCCCTCATGACCGAAATCAGATCAGTGGTTGCCTAGGGGCTGACGGGAGGAATTACAAAGAGGTACAAGGAAACACTGAGGGTGATGGGTGTATTTATTATCTTGATTCTGGGGACAGTTTCAGAGGTGTATACATATGTCAAAACATCAAATATCAGCTGTTAACTAGATGTATTGTGGTAATTATTTTGCAATATATACATATATCACTGTGTTGTACACCTGAAATTAAAGTTACATGTCAATAACACCTCAAGATAAAATCTTAATTAATTTATTTATTTGCCTGCATCAGGTCACAGTTGCAGCATGTGGGATCTAGCTCCCCAACCAGGGATGGAACCTGGGCCCCCTGCATTGGGAGCAGGGAGTCTTAGCCACTGGACCACCAGGGAAGTCCCAAGAGAAAATCTTTTGCCTTACCAAACTGTATATTTTAAATATGTACAGTTTATTGTTTGTCAACTCTTTCTCAATAGAGCTTTTCAAAAACCAAACAAAAACAATAAACTGTATCTATTTCTGTCTTTTCTAAGCACTGTATGAGTATTACAGTATTCACCTTCATTAAAACCCTAAGATGTGGATACTATTATTATCTCCCTTCTCATTTTACAGATGAGGTAAATAAGGCACAAAGAGCTTAGGTAACTTTCCCAAGGGCGCAAAGTTATTAACTATCAGAGCTGGGACTCAAACTCAGGCAATTCAGGCCCAGAGTCCATACTCTTCACTCAGCGGCTTCTGGGTGGCTGCTGCCTGAGAGGGTGGTGTGGTAGTAGCAGAACTCTCCTTAACTGCTGATGGAAGTGGAGACTGTGATAGTCATTCCCAAAAGCAAACTGGTAGTTCTTAGTCAAATTAGGCAGAAGCATAACCTGTGACTCCGGAGAAGGCAATGGCACCCCACTCCAGTACTCTTGCCTGGAAAATCCCATGGACAGAGGAGCCTGGTAGGCTGCAGTTCATGGGGTCGCTAAGAGTTGGACACGACTGAGTGACTTCACTTTCACTTTTCACCTTCATGCGCTGGAGAAGGAAATGGCAACCCACTCCAGTGTTCTTTCCTGGAGTATCCCAGGGACGGGGGAGCCTGGTGGGCTGCCATCTATGGGGTCGCACAGAGTCGGACACGACTGAAGTGACTTAGCAGCAGCAGCATACCCTATGACTCAGCAATTCTGCTCATGGAGATAGATATAAATAAAGACAAAGACATAGGCAGAGGCAGAGACATAGCTCCATGTTCACTGCCACATTATTTGTCGTGGTTGGGAAGTGGAGGTGATATGGGTGCTGATGGGATGACTGGCATTGTGGAGCATTAGGCAATGGTACATTATGCAATGAATCAATAAATAATGCGATAAAATAATTATGAAACCATCACTTGGATAATCACAGAACATGAATGGGTTTTCAAAACATAGTGCTTACTGAAAATAAGTAAGATCAGATTGAAAGATATAAACAGATGCTGTGTACTGGGTTGTGCTCAGTTGTGTCCGACTCTTTACAACCCCATGGACTGTAGCCCTCCAGGCTCCTCTGTCCTTGGGATTTCCCAGGCAAGAATACTGGAGTGGGCTGCCATTACCTTCTCCAGGGGATCTTCCCGACCCAAGAATCCAACTCGCATCTCTTGCATCTCTGACATTGGTAGGCAGATTCTTTACCACTGAGCCACCTGCACATAAAACAATTCATATTTTGCAAGAGTACAACAAAAGGGAGCCTTAAATGCATTGGGATGGTGGGTTTTTGAGAGAAGACAAATGAGAAATGGATATGGAAATTTAAAAAAGGATAATTTTTAAAATAAATACAAGATAAGACATTGATCAGTGAGTATCATGTACCAAGAACTGTGCCATTAATTCAATCCTCTGTACCTGAGACCCTCATATATTGACAAAAACAAAGGGAGGAGACAAAGGGAGGAGATGGCATTGCTGGAGCTCAGGGGTCTAAGGTTTCCCTCTAGAAGCTGAAAGTGAAGTGGGCCTGAAGAGTAGGAGCTGGAGGCAGAGAGAGTGAAGAAACATCCTGTCTTTCTCTTGGCCTCCAATCTCTCACCTCCTATGGGCTACATCCAGTCAGAAGACAGTGAATATGGGAATTTGAAAACAAAAGCCTGAAGGGATCAGCTCCCAATGTCATAGGGCAGAGCTTAGGAAGGGCTACAACTGGTTCTGAGATCAAATGAGCCAAAAATTAATTTCTAAGCAAGATGAACGCACACATGCTCCAATGCTAAATGCCCACTGTGTCCTGTGTCTCATTTCTTCCCTTTCCATCCTCTCTCAGTTAGTCTCTTTCTCCCACCTTCCCAGCCATTTTTCTCCCTCCCTCCCGACTCTCCTTATTCCCATTGTCTCTTCTACTCCCTATCACTTCCTCCCTTCTTTTTATCTTCTTTATCTAGATCTGACTTGCTTTCCTTGATTCTACTTTCCTTGGGGCTTAAACTCCTAGAAGCATCAGAACAAAGCATCTGAATGAGACTGAGAAAGTTCCTTGACCTGAGTACCAGGAGAGACCCCAAGGCCTGCACGCTATCTGCTACCCTGACTTATCATCTGCCACCCACCTGTGCCCCCCTCCAGCTCCCTTCTTTCCTCTTGGCACCTTTCTCAGCTTTCCCTCTCTCCCTGCCCTCTTCCCTTCATGGCATTCCAGCATCCCTGGTTTTCCTTTTACCTTCCCAATTACCTTCCTTCTCGGCTTCCAACAATCACTTCTGCTCCTTTTTATTCATAAACAATTTGTTCTCAACTAGCAGATTTTAGTTCTTCTACTTTAGTTCCCCTTGGTCAGGTATATGGAGCCATTTACCAAAGTGTTCCCCCATTCATGACTGCTCCCCAGTCCATATTCCTGACCATCAGGAGCAGACCCTCATTTCATTCATTCAACAAATAAATATTGAGTGCTCACCCTGGGTGAGCTGAGTCGTTGAGGATATAGAGGTAAACAAGATGATTATCTGTCCTCAGGGTTAATGTGCAGAGAAGAAATTATGACAATGTACTATACTGGGGACACATGGTCTTCTGGAGCAAAGCCAAGGAAGGTTATCTCAGGGTCGGGGGTGGGGGTAGGGGGCAAGAGATTTTCAGAGGACAAATGGGAGTCCTCTGGTATTCCAGACTAAGGGATTAGTAGCCACCAAGGGGTGAAACAGTGCGATGTGTTCTGGATACAAGAAATAGCTAGGAATTGACTAAAACTTGAGGGGAGAGGATAGAATGTGAGGCAGAGATAGAAGGAAAGGCAAGAGGTTTTGTTCACTCTGAGAGGGGGTTAGAGCTTGACAGTGGGCAACAGAGACTTCTGAGGGGAGAGTGAGGAGGTTGAACTCTTTGAATTGTACTCTGCCCCTCCCAGTAGGGGAAGAGGAGCAGGAAGACCAGGCAGGGTGATGGCTGTCTGAACCAAACTGGCCACAGTACAGGTGGAAAAAATCAGATTAATATGAGGGTTTAGGAGGTCAAAACACCAATGCTGATAACTGGATAAAGGTGGGGGGTGCAGGAGAGGAGGAATCAAGCATGACTTCCTCTTTCTGATAGGAGTGACAGGCTGGCTAACAGGACCATTCACTGTGATGAGGAAGTTAGCCCGAGGAGCAGGTTTGAACATGCTGATCATGTGAATTGCCCACCCAGGCGGCCGCTGAACAACTCGGATCTGAGAGAGAGGCCTGGGCTGGAAGTAATGGAAGCCTTAAAGATGTGGAATGAGGGGGGTCAGTGGGCCGCAGACCACCCCGGCCCGATCCGCTGAGGATCCGCGCTCTCCCTCCAGGTGGCACTAGAGCCCCGTGCTTCTGAGTCCGGTTCTTCGCTGCGCGCGCTGTCTGTGCTCAGAACGTTCTGCTGCTGCTCCGGGGACTTGCCAACTCTAGGTCGCGCCCTCCTCGCTGGGCATTCAAACCTGGAGCGACCTCCAGAAAGCGTGTCCAACTCTTTCACGCGGCCAGCACATTCTTGGCGGCTCAGGCACCTCAGGGCTGGTGACGTGGTTGGTGTGACCACCTGTCCCTCCGGCCACCTCCAGGAACCAACGTGGGGAATGGGTGTAGGGGAAGAGCCAGAGAGGTAGTGCTCCGAGCACGGATGCATGGAAAGACGACCCCCGAGGACAGACACCTGAGCCGCTAGGAACGGAATTTCCTGTGCCCCGGGTCATCTCCGCGTGGGAAGCCTGTCGCGGATCCTTTAAGGCTCCATCTCCCTGTCCTCCCCCGCCCAGGACAGGCTGGGACACCCGGGACCTGACATTTGGCGTCTCCCAACGTGGGAGCTAAAAATAACCGCTGTGGGTTACTCCAGGCCATTGCTCTGCACCCACCCCGCGCGCCGGCTAGCGCTCAGTCTCCGGCCGCCCTAGTTCTCTCCTGGGCAAGTGTACCTGGCCTGTCCCCTCCCATCCCGTGGAAGTCGCTTCTTTAGCCCCGAACCTCGGCCGGTGGGCGGAGACTTCACATGAAGGGGAAGAGGGCCTCCAGGTTTCCCAGGACCCTGTTCTCAAAACTTCCCGGCGGCAGGCTGGCGGAAACCCGAGGGGCGTGTATCCCGGGCACGCTGAGGGGCGTGGCCTCGCTGGCTAACCCCGCAGCCGGTGCCAAACTCTCAGCCCCAGGCTCAGCGAGGGGCGTGGCCTGCTGGGGTGTGCGGGCTCCTGGCCAATGGGTGCCGTGAAAGGCGTGGCCCTAGGGGCTGCGGGGGCTGCTCTTCGGGTCTTTTCCCCCCAGCCAAGCTTCTCCAGATGCCCGGGAGCTGCTGTCTGGCTCCTGGGCTTGTAGCTGTGGGTCCCGCCAGACTCGCCCTCCTCACAACACTCCGGGACCCCCATCACCCTCGTGTCCTCCGCCCACCAGGCTGGGGTCGCAGACCCCCCAGTCGCCTTCCTCTTGTCTACTGCAGCTCCTGCGTCTCCAGTTTCTAAGACAAGATGCCGTCGGGCTTCCAACAGATCGGCTCTGAAGTAGGATTTAGCATGAGGGGGCGGGACGGGGACAAGGGTCCCGCTTTTCTCGGGCTGGGGTCGCGGTTGGGGTCAGCTAGGGGGCGGTCCTTGCGCAGGCGCAGGGGGTGGGGTGGGGGACTGGCTATTTATACCCGAGCAGGACAACCCGTGACTGTCAGATTCCAGTCACTCCAAGAGGCAGAATGAGTCTGGGGGATCACTGTGGGCAAGAACCACAGCTGGATTCTGCGCGTCCTGGGTTCGCCCTCTTCTCTAGTTCGCGGCGCTTTGCGCCGGGATCGAGGACTTCCTGCCCTCAAGAAAGCAGATTCAGGCGAGTCTTGCCCTCCAGGAGCTGTCCGTCTGTCCCGGCTCGCCCTCCCGCAGTTTTTCGAAGACCGGAGGTGCTCCGTAGGTCCACCCCCACCCCCACTCTTGGCAGTCCTCCAGGACGCTGAACTTTCCCTCGGCCCTACAGTTGGTGGAGGGGTAGAGGGGAGTGTCAGCCCTCCCTCCCCCAGCTCAGGTTTCCTTTTGGAGACAGTCTGTGCCGCCAGCGGTCAGCCACCAAGGCTACCGCCCCTCACACCACCTTCCCGCCCCCATCCCCTGCGCAAGGCTCGCTCAGGCAAAAGCCAGCATGGCCCCCTGCCCTTTGTCGCAGCTTGGAGGGGGAAGGGAGGCCGGGGCGGAGACAGAGAAGGCCATAAGCCAGGAGGAATGACCGCGATGTCCTTTTTGGAATTGTCCTTCTTGAGCCTATTGGGGGCTTGCAGGAGCCCGCGGAGAGAACCCGTAGATGGAAGAGAAGAGGACAGAGACTGATGATGCTAACACACTTGTTACTTTATAAAAGTAGCACTGTTGGTGATACCCAACATTCAGTTTTGATTTTCACACTTTCACTTGACAAGCAACATCACCCCTATCTCTTCAGTTCAAAGTGAGGAAGTGACTTACTTAAGGTCACACAAATCTGAACGGGGGTCTCTTAATGCCAAGCCTGTCCCAAGGTCAGAGAGGAATTGTGAGACCCGGGTTCTCAAACGTTTCTCTGCTTGCTGGTCTCAAACATCTGTTTCTCCTCCATGCCCTGGTACTCTTGGGTTCTTCCTGTTCTTGTTTACACTGAGATCTTCGATTGATTCCTAATATGGTCCACTTTCCCTCATCCCACATGTTGGATGAAACCCAGCATCTTTAGGCTCCTACTGGGCCTGGGCCTCTGAAGGAAGGAAAGATGCCACAGTTCCATGTGACATGCCTCCTCTCTGCTTCTGCCTGCCCAGGATGGGGAGCCCCCTCGGCAGCGAGTCACTGGGACCTTGGTCCTTGCCGTATTCTCCGCTGTTCTTGGATCCCTGCAGTTTGGCTACAACATTGGGGTCATCAATGCCCCCCAGAAGGTGAGGGGCTACAGTTGGCAGAGTGGGGTGTCCAGACAAGGTAGGGGGGTGAGCAGAGAGGGGAGAGTCTAGCAGCTAATCACTCCTTTGCTGTGCCCCCAGGTGATTGAACAGAGCTACAATGAGACCTGGCTGGGGAGGCAGGGGCCTGAGGGACCCGGCTCCATCCCACCAGGCACCCTCACCACCCTCTGGGCTCTCTCCGTGGCCATCTTCTCTGTGGGTGGCATGATCTCATCCTTCCTGATTGGCATCATCTCTCAGTGGCTGGGAAGGTATGGGGCTGGAGAGTGAGGGTGGAGGGACAGGAAGGGAGCCAGAACACGGGTTCCTGGACTCTCACAGCCCCACTCTTTGTCTCTCAGGAAGAGGGCCATGCTGTTCAACAACGCCCTGGCAGTGCTGGGGGGCACCCTCATGGGCCTGGCCAAGGCAGCTGCCTCCTACGAGATGCTCATTCTTGGGCGGTTCTTCATTGGCGCCTACTCAGGTACCCACGGGCACTGTGGCCCTGCCCAGGGCCTTGCTCTCCTTTACTAACCCTGGCCTTGGGGATGGTGATGGGGGTGGGTGGGCAGCTGCCCTGAGAAGCTCTCTTCTTCCCTCTGCTCAGGGCTGACGTCGGGGCTGGTGCCCATGTACGTGGGAGAGATTGCCCCTACTCACCTGCGGGGCGCCCTGGGGACCCTCAATCAACTGGCCATCGTCACTGGCATCCTAATCGCCCAGGTGACTGGGCGTGGCCTCCTGGGAGGCTGGGCAGGGGGTTGGGGCTCTGGGTACAGGCTGAACATCCTGTCCTTCTTCCCTGCTTTCTTCCACAGGTGCTAGGCTTGGAGTCCATTCTGGGCACGGCCACCTTATGGCCACTCCTCCTGGGCATCACTGTGCTGCCTGCCCTCCTGCAGATGGTCTTGCTGCCCCTCTGCCCAGAAAGCCCCCGCTACCTCTACATCATCCGGAACCTGGAGGGGCCCGCCAGAAAGAGTGAGCTCCCGCACCATCCTGCAGGCACTTGTGCCTCTCCCAGGCCCTCTGCCTGCCCTCTCAGGCCTGACCCCCCTCACCTCCAGGTCTGAAGCGCCTGACAGGCTGGGCCGACGTGTCTGAGGTGTTGGCTGAGCTGAAGGAGGAGAAGCGGAAGTTGGAGCGTGAGCGGCCCTTGTCCTTGCTCCAGCTTCTGGGCAGCCACACCCACCGGCAGCCCCTCGTCATCGCCATTGTGCTGCAGCTGAGCCAGCAGCTGTCAGGCATCAATGCGGTACGGGCATCAGTGCAGTGTGGATGCAGCCATCTCCAGGAGGGGCAGGGTTAGGGTACAGCCCCAGAGGAATGAAGGGAGCAAGCCCCCGCTTTGTTAAAATTCAGGGTTAGTCCAGCTTGGTGTGGCTTCAAGGGAAGAAAGAGCATCCTTGTCATCACCTTTTCTTCTGGCCCACCTCTAGGTTTTCTATTATTCAACCAGCATCTTTGAGTCAGCGGGTGTAGAGAAACCAGCCTATGCCACCATTGGAGCCGGCGTGGTCAACACAGTCTTCACCTTGGTCTCGGTAACTGCTGGCCTCTGGAAGGGTCCCCACCATTACATACCTGGGTTTCCCAAAGGTCCAACCTTTGGTTGACCCCACCCACACAACCCCTCCCACGACCCAAGCCCTGAAGGCCCCTGGCAAGCCCTGACTCTCTCTGCAGGTGTTCTTGGTGGAACGGGCTGGGCGCCGGACCCTCCATCTCCTGGGCCTGGCAGGCATGTGTAGCTGCGCCATCTTGATGACTGTGGCTCTGCTTCTGCTGGTGAGGCCTGAGGAGAGGGAGGGGGACCAGCCTCCAAACCCCAGGGAACTGCCCCAAGGGGCTCTGTGGACAGCCAGGGTCATTCCTCAACATACACGCCTTTGACGCTGGGCCCAGGCTGTGTGCCAAGACCGTGCCCCCGAGGGACCCAGGCTGCATGCACTTCCTCCTGCTCTAGGACACTGTAGCATTAGCCTGGCAGCCAGTGGGGAAAGCCCCTGTCAAACTCAGGGACAGTAATTCCTAAGAACCCAGCTCTAGAATCATGGGGGAATCGATATAAGAGCTGAGAGACCATGTGTTCCCTCTGCCCTGAATCAGCACAGGGCAACCAGCTGAATGTCAAATGCTTGAAGGCTTGTTGCAACGTAGGTGGCAGGTCCCCTGCCTGTGAATGGCTGGTAGGGGTCGACGCCAGTTTCCTGGGTGGAGGGCAAAGGAAGATCCTGAAAGACCTGACCTGAGTTCTCCACCCTCCCTGCCCGGCCCCCAGGAGCGGGTTCCAGCCATGAGCTATGTCTCCATAGTGGCCATCTTTGGCTTCGTGGCCTTCTTTGAGATTGGCCCTGGCCCCATCCCCTGGTTCATCGTGGCCGAGCTCTTCAGCCAGGGACCTCGCCCAGCGGCCATGGCAGTGGCTGGGTTCTCCAACTGGACGTGCAACTTCATCATCGGCATGGGTTTCCAGTATGTGGCGGTAGGTCCCCTGCCCCTGCCCCCATCTCCCACACCGTCAGCTAGAGGAGGGTAACGCATCACTAGCCCAGATGCTTTCCACTCAGCATCCCCCCCACCCTGCCTTGCCCATAGACTGCTGGTCGGGGGATCACTTTAGTGGGCCACGTGGGTCCTGAAGACCACCTGCTCCACCAGAATCAAAGCAAAGAAGGGAACTGAGCTAGATGGAAAATAACAGAGCTGTCTCCAAAGCCAACTAGTGGCATAACTTACTTAGGAATAAAACTACAAACTTCGTATTAATAGTGCAAATGGCCAGGAATCCACTGAGTGCAGTAACTCAGGATGGTAAGAGAGGGAAAAACCAGGAGAGATGGGGTTCAGAGAATTCTCTTTTCACTAAATTCTCCTGGTAATTTCCATTGCCCACCAAGGAGCAACCTGCTTCGTGCAGTGTCCCAGTTCCCTGTGAGGACCTTTGGCCCCAAGCCAGTCCTTTAGTCCTGGCTTGCCCAAAGCCACCCGTTCCCTCCCCTCTGTCAACACCTCTTTCTCCACTTGTCCCAGGATGCTATGGGTCCCTACGTCTTTCTTCTATTCGCGGTCCTCCTGCTTGGCTTCTTCATCTTCACCTTCTTAAAAGTGCCTGAAACCCGTGGCAGGACGTTTGACCAGATCTCAGCCGTCTTCCGCCGGACACCTTCTCTTCTGGAGCAGGAAGTGAAACCCAGCACAGAACTGGAGTACTTAGGGCCAGATGAGAATGACTGAGGGGCCACATAGGGGTGGGAGAGCCAGTTCTCTCCACTTGCCTAGAGACCCCCCTCCTTTCCTCTGCAGCACTTTAACCCTCTCTCCCCCATTACTTCCAGGGCGGAGAAAACCCCTGCAGCCTGGTGGGATTGGGAAGCTGGAGGGAAGGATGGTCTGAGCACCCCCTCATTCCCCTCGTGTGACCTCTTCGATTATTTGTGTTGTGGTTAGGCAGTGGCTGTGGGGTGGGTCAGTCTCCCCTCCATCCCCTCCTTCTTCAGTAGCCATCCCCACCCCGCCTCAGCTCCAGAATACTTGTGCCCTGGCTAGTGAAGGGGGTTTACAGGGAGGAGAGACTCTAGGACTGACTTTCTGGTGGGGGTGAACCAAAGCCGAGAGCAGGACAGAGAAGAGAGATCCAGTTCCTGCCACCTTGGACTCCTCCCTCTCTGGCACTTCCTCGGAATTCTTGCCACAGACTCTGGGTGAAAGGGGAGGGGGTCTGTCTGTCCCCTCCAGGGCAAAGGACACACCCCCCTTCCCAAGATCTCATCTCACTTGTCATATGGCAGGCTCAGTCCTCTTGCTCAGCCTTCCAGGGCGAGAGGGAACACACGTCCATCCATGGCAAGAGGAAGGGACAGTGGGCTCCCCTCTAGACTCAGGGTTCTGGGCTCCACCCCTGCTGCTCCCAAGGCTGCCAGGTGGGGGCCCCAGCTCTTCCCTCCTCTCCCATCCTGGAGGGTATTATCCCACAGGCTTTTGACCAACTAAGGGCAAGAGGCATTTGAAAGGCTGCCTGTGAACACTGGGCTGGGAGGAGCCTTCAGATATTTTTGTATATGTTTGAAAAAGCAGGGGCAGGGAGAAGAAATTGAAGGTCTGTTGTACTAAATGTATATATAGAGATCGTATATAAAGTTACTGTATGAGATGCGCATCCTGTCGTGTGGAGGCACTCCAAGACTGGCTGAGACCCGGACCACAGCCTCCCCACCCCCGCCTCTTCTCCAGCCTGCCTCAGTTCCAGGCCACAGAATCCTCTGGACTGGACGCTGTCACTCATGCCTCCACTCAAGAGCTGGAATCATTGCCTTTGTTAACAGTAGTAAAGCCTCAGTAAGTTGACGCTGCAGATGCCAGACCCTGCTCTTGGCAGTTCAGGAATCACTCATTTGACCAGGGAGGCAATAGTCCCATTTCACAGATGGGAAAAGTCAGTGTCCCAGGGATGAAGGCACTTCTGCAAAGCTGCAAAGCTAGAACCGTGGGAACAAGGATCCGAGAACAGGCCCTGCCCACCAACCCCTCTCTCTCCTGCCACCCTCAACAGTGCATTACCAACAAGGCTCCGAACAGAAAAGAGGCAGAGACCAAGACAACAGGAAAGCCCGTTTTTGTTTTTACTGGAGGCTCAGGTGGCACATGACAGTTCATAAAATGGCTTCAGAGGTAGGGGGAGCAGGGAAACAAAAAATAAACTGGGGTGGGAAAGAAAAACAACCAGGAGGAGGGAAGAGCTGGCTGGTTCCTTCTCAGCCTGATTTACGGGAGGGAGTTGATGCCTCTGAACAATAAGGATGGATCCCTTCCTTCAACCCTTGGTAAGGGAGAGAAGAAAAAAAAAGCAAAAGGCTGTTGCTTTGGCCCTCCTGAGTCTCAAGGAATGGGGGGAAAAGCCGGTGTTTTGATGTCATGAATTATGGGAAAGAGGGGAGGGAGGTGCTGGGTAGGATACAGGTCAGTTGGAAAAACTGGCAGATACCTGAGAGGAGGAGAGATGGAAAAAAAAATCACACCAGCAACTTGTCACCACTCAGCCCCACCTCCGCCTCTTGGTACCCAGCCCTGGGCCTGCCACTCACCAGATGGTGGCTCTGGGTGTCCTTTGAGTTGGAATCACTCCAGTATGGTGGTTGGGGGGTCCCCACTGTTGATGGGGGCTGAGGTCTAGAGAGAACAAGGGTGGTTGGCTGAGACCCTCTTGTTCTTCAGGGCCCCCAGTTTCAACCTCTTGCACCTTTTCTGTTCCCATTCCTCCCTCAATTCCCATCCACAGGCTGGTGCTGGGGCTCCAGCAGAGCCGAGAGGGAGTCTGCAGGGTGTGACGTGGGCTCCAATGCCTCTGCTGGGCTTTCCTGGTGGGTGGGTTGGCGGGTGGCTGCCAGGGGTGGACCTGGCAGTCCTGGCTCTTGGGTGTCAGGCTGCCTTGAAGCCAGGGTGAGTGGGGGCAGGAGAAGGGGGGACAAAGAGAGGGGGAAGGAAAGGGAAAGGAAGTCAGGAGTGGGGGAAGAAGGGACAGGGGGAAGTTGGCTCCAGGCTTTTCTTTCTTTCTCTGGCCCCTGACACGGACAGTCCCAGGTCCTCACCTCTGGGGCTGTGGACTGCCTGGGTCCCGGGGGCTGCTGCCGTCTCCGCTGGAAGTAGGGACGGTTTCGTGGGCGCTGGGGCTCAGGTCGGGAGCCGTCACTGGGGCCTTGGCTGGGCTTGGTCTCGCCATCCCCACCTTCTGTGGTGGGCTGCTGGGGTGGCCTGGGGCGGAAAGGCCTGGGGCGAGAAGCGAGGACCCTGAAGGGACAGGAGCCCAGTGCAGACCATGTCCCTCCCTCCTAGGACCCCCCCAGCAGGGGCAGACTAGCCTGCCTTCCTGTCCCATCCCAGGGGTGCCTGCTAACTCTGGGCACCTGGGCAGTAATGGCTCAGTGGCCCAGCCCTCCTGACCTCTGGCTTCAGGCCCCTCCCCTTCCCATCCTCAGGTCCCCACACTGGCTGGTGAAAGGGAAGCCAGGGCCCAAGAAAGGGAGTCTTACCTTCGGTACCTGGGCCGGAATCTGGGTGGGGGTATCCGCTCATCCCCCTGCTGCTGGTCTCCCTCTAACGGGGCTGTCTCTTTGGGTTCTACCCCGTCTGTGCCCTGGGGACACGCAAAGGCCGGGGGGAGCCGGGTGGCACCAGCTGCTTCGGTGTCCACAGCTCTTCCCAGCCCACCTTCCACCCCGCTTCCTCGGGGCTCCAGCCTCATTAACTCTGCTCCTTTTCCAGGATGTGGGCAGCTGGTTCCCATGTTCCCAGTCCCCCTCACCTCTATGGGCTGCTGCTGGTTGGGGGGCCGAGGGCCTCGCACGAAGCGCCGTCGGTAGAAGAAGGGTGGTGGGCGCCGTCGTCTGGGCCGCTGCCCGGAGTCTTCAGCACGCTCCCCTTCGCTGCCTGGCTCTGTTCCGCCCGATGGAGCCTCTGCCACCATGGGTGGCGGGGCAGCTGGGCGGGGCCGGGGGATGAATCGGCGGAACCTGCGTCGGTTGGGGGCATAGCGGCTGCCCTTCACTGGCACCCCCCCAGGCCCAGTTACGTTAGCAGCTTCTGCGCCCTGGGGAGGAGGTGGGGAGGAACTGGTGAGAACCAGCTCCCACGACAGATGCACAATCCTCCCAGTCTGGCTTGAATCACTGTCTTCCATCCTCCAGATAACTGCCCCCTCTCCAGCTCCTCTAACTTCTGGTTCTTTCCACCCTCCCCAGAGGAGCAGGGGCCAGTGGTGTTGGGACCCTTCTGGAAGGGGCCGCATCTGCAACTGGTCCTTTTGAAATAACTGTCACTGGACCCTCATGAGGCTTCGCCTGGAGGTGTGGTGGGGATGGAGAAAGAGGGCTGGCAGCAGGGGAGCATCTCCTGGAGGGCTGATTCTGAGAGGAGAACATGGGCACAGGTGCCCCATGGAGAAGAGACATGGGCCTGTTGAACTGCAGAGAGCGCCCTGACTGTGACAGGGACATCTTCTTTCGGACACCCCTTGAAGCAGCCAGAGCCTTAAGGACAAGTTCTGCTCGAGGACACGGTCCCAGCCCCATGGCCTGTGCTGCCCAGGCAGAGCCTGGGGGCGACCTCCAGGCCACCCTCCCCTGGTTTGGCGGGCTCTCCAACCACAGCCCCCGAACCTTCTCTCCTTCCACGACATCGAACTCCACGGTCTCCCCATCCCCAACGCTGCGCAGAAACTTCCTGGGGTTGTTTCTCTTAATAGCTGTCTGGTTAAGGAAAGGCCAGGAGAAAGATGAGAATGGCCAGGATCTCTCACACCCCTGTGGGGCCCACCACCCACTTCCATTCTTTTCAAAATTTTACTTGTGAGCTGGGGCTGGAGGGTGAAGCAAGGAGAAGGCAAAGTTCAGCAGGGGAAAAGCCACAAACTAGGGGCCTCTGAACAACTGTGTAGTTACCACGGTCCCCAGGACTCACTCCCTCCTCCCCTGACCCCTCAGGGATTTCCAGAAGGGAAGCAAGAAACATGAACTCAAAAGCCAAACAAAAGGCCAACAGTCTTAAGTTGCAAAGTGGGTAACACGTACTGTGTTTCTTACCTCAGTCCCACTGAGCATGCTTTCCACCAAAGCAGTGGTTCTCAAACTGTGCGTGCATCACCATCACCTGGAGAGCTAGTTAAAACAGGCAGCTGGCCCCGCCCCCAAGCCTGACTGATTGGCTAGGTTTGGGGTGGGCCTGAGAATCCAGATGTCAGGAGATGCTGCTGGTGCGGGGACCACACTTTGAGAACCACTGTGCCCAAGTAGCGCTAGCCTGTGTCCTTTCCCTCGGACACTGCCTGTGATTCGCTCCTGGGATGTTCACAGGTCCCAGTAGGGAGTGAGCCGTGCCGTGCCCAGAGGGCAACAGGCACATTTCTTACAGAGACAACCCAACACAAGTGAGGCCAATGCAGTTAATACAGCACCTGTGGGATGGATAGAGAACTATTTCCTGGTGGGAGGTGAAAGCTGGAGAGCCAGGACTTGTGCTAAGAGGACAGTAGCAAAGACCATCAGGGAAGGTGGGTTCCTCCCCTCAGAAAGCCATCCCAGCTCTTACCTGGTGAACAAAGACATCCTCCTTGGTGTCATTCCTGCAGGACAGGATGGGGTGTTAGGTGATGATTTTGGTAAGGCACTCACCTCTGCTGAGGGCTCCCTAGCTACCCATTCCCAAGACCTGTGGCCCCATCCTCTCCACCTTCCATTGCTGCTTGGGGTTAAACAGGGCCCAGAGAGTGAGACAAGAGCCAATAGGGCCCCCTGAAGCGGGTATGAAGAGCAGATCCCTAAAACCTCCATGAAAAACTTGGGCTTCATGAGGAAAGGGCTGCAGGGTCAGCAAAGGCACCTTGAAGGAGTTGGTTCAGCCTTTACCTGTGGAGCTCTCCACCCTCTACCCCGGGGCACCTTAGAAACTGGTAGTGCTGGGTGTCACTGTCCCAGCGAACAACCCCTGCTCCCCAACCCACATCGTGGGTGGAGAATTCCTCTCAGTCTCCTTCCTTTTGCAGTCAAGGAGGGAGTGAGTAGGAACAGGAGCAGAGGTGCAGAACACCTTTGAGGAGGGGAAAACGTGTCAGGAACTGGCTCCAAACAGCCCACAAAACTTTATTCTCAGCCTGGAGGTGAACCCCCGTCAGGCCCCCTCTCAGCACACCAAGAGATCAAGGGTGAGAAACAAGATATTAGATCATTCTGTCACTAGTTTGCCCATCACCCTAGTTTACCCTAGCACCCCAGTGGGGGGTGGGTGTGAAGAGGTCTTCCCTCAGAACCTCCCAGGAGTCCTCAGTTTCCAGAATTAGAGAAGGACCCTTCCCTAGAACAAGTGTTCTGGCTTTAAAGCACTTGGATCTGCACAAAGGTCAGCCTGCTAAGAGGGAACTGAGGCCTCCCAGGAGGGCTGGGCTGGGCAGGGTGCCTGGACTGGGGAAGGGCCCACTGGGGGAGACCTGACTCGGCTCAGAATCTGACACTACGGCCCCTCCCAGTTTGGGGGGTGCGGGGGTGCTGCAGAAGGAAAGCAGCAGCCTCAGGCTGGGCTGGTGCCTTCTTTCCCCAACCCCCACCAGACTCAGTCCCATCAGGTGGGGGATTCAATGAGCTAACAGCTCTCTAAGGGAGATGAGTTATGAGAGTGCTATGTGTGCTGCCCGAAACAGGAAATGAGTGAGGATTCCGGCCGGAGGCACATTCTGCAGGTACATTCTGCCCCAAAGGCGGCAGCAAACTAAACCAGAAGGTGACACAGACCAGCTGCGAGGATCAGAGCCAGATTTGCCAACTTCCTAGATCATTAACCCTCTGCTGCCCTTGAAGATGTGGAGAAGGCTTCATCATGCCCACATCTGTGCTGTGGTTAAAGACTTTCAATCAGCATCAGCTGGACATTGCAACCATGTGCCTTGGCAGGGGTAGAGATGAGGCTGGGAAGGTGTCCAGTCCCATAGATCAGTTTGGAAGACACCCATTCCATCCCCTCCCTGGGTTCCTCAGATACCTGTTGATGAATCCGTAACCATTCCGCACGTTGAACCATTTGACAGTGCCCAGGACTTGGATTGCTGCCAGGCAGAGATGCAGTGGGGGCAGTAAGATAGGGGGAAGAGATGGAGTTGGACTCAGTTTTGGGACACTCCAAAATCTAACCAACCTATTATCTGTTAAGCTAAACTTCATGCGAACCAGGTTTTACCCAGTAGCTCCAAGGCATTCTTACCCAATTCCACCAAATGCAACCGCCCATAGAGCGAGGCTCAGGGTTTCAAACCTCTTCCAATTCTAAGGCATGTTCCTCACATCCTACAAATCTAGGCTCTTAACCTAGAAGCGGGTACTTACCTGGTCCACGAAGTTCCGCCCTCAGGTCATAACTGGGGTCTCTCTAGCCCTCCTATTTTAAGAGTCACTAGTGCACTTGCTTTCCGGGCTCAGATATTTACCTAATACGAGCCCAAATCAACAAGATCAAGTCTCCCGCCCCGGGGGCGTGGTCAGACCCTAGCTGGACCGGCCAGCCACTCCCTCTCACCCAGGAAGACACTGCAGAATTTCCCACTAGGGAAACTCACTAAGGTCCGCTGGTCTTTTGAGCCTCGAGCCATACCGGCCTTCGGCTTTCCGGACCCCGCCGGGCTCCACGATGCCCCTCCCCCAGCCCGTCGACCCCCGCCCCGCCTCCCCCTTAGAGCCGCCGTGGCACGCGCCCCGCCCCTCACCCAGCACCGGCTTGTCCGCCTGACTCCGGGCCGGGGGCGCGGGGGTTCCCGGGGCCGCCGTCGCCGGATTGCCAGGGGTGCGGGGGCCTGGCGCCGAGGGGGTCCCAGCAGCTGGGCCCGAGGCCGTTCCGACCCCGCCGCTGCCCGCCCCGCCGCCTGCTTTCTGTGGCTCCCCTGCGGGCACCGGGACCACCACCGCTACCACCCCTGCCGCCGTCGCGGGCACCGTCGCCGCGGGGGCCGCTGTCGCCACCACTGCCGCCTCCGCCTCGCTCATCCCGCCGGGTCCAGTACCGGCCCCCGCCGCCACCACCACCACCTCCGCCGCCGCCGCCGCCACCGCCCCGGCCCCTCCCCCTGGCTCGCGAACCCACCGCCCCGCTCTGTCCTCGCGCCCCGAGCCTAGCCTGCACGCCGGCAGCCGGCCCTGAACCGAGGCCAATCGTAGCCCGCAGCCGCGGCGCGTGCAGGCCCCGCCTCCCGGCCACAGGCCAATCCTAGCGGAGCAACCCCAGGGCCCGCACGCCAGCCCCGCCTTCCGGACTTCGCGCGGAGGCTGCGGCCCCCGCCTGCAGCCTAGTAAGTACACCTGGGCCCCGCCCCGAGGATATCACGTGACTGTCCCAACCCAACCCATTGGCCGACGGCCGCTTTCCCCTCCCCCCTCCGCCCCTTTCCACCGGCCGCGGGAAATCAAACGGGCTGGTCGCGCCCCAACCGCCACCTGGCCTCTACGCGAAGGGCGGGGCGAGGGCGCAGCTCCAAGGTTGACCCTGGCAACCCGGGCGGGGGCCTGAGCCCGTAACCTTGGTCCTGGCTGTGGGCTGCACGGCTCACTTCCACTCTAGAGACCACCTTTGCTCGCACACCGCTGGGTGTGGTTGCTTTCTCCCAGCCTGCCCGACCGTCTCCCTAGAGGATGCCCTGTACCCTGGTCTGCGGGATCAGCCCGCGGGGCCAACCAGACTTTCCCAGGTCACGGTTGCTCTCTCAAGCCGAGCACTCTCACACTTTTTGGGTAGTTTTTGACGTACGATTTACATACAGCAAAATGCACACTTCTTCGCTGAGTTTTGATAAACGCGTTCATCTATGCAATCAACACCCTAATTCAAGGTGTTTTCCCCTTGCTGTTGAACCCTTTCCGGGCAGGCCCAGACGCCTCACAAACCACCGCTGACCTTTTCCACCGAAGATCAGTTTCAGGATCCACAGTACTGGGTGCTTTGGTCTCCAGCTGGGCCTCGCTCTCCAGCTCCCTGCCCTCTCCCTGGCAGCTCCCTTCACCTTTCTTTTATCCAACTAGCCAGGCTCTTCACTCAAGCCGAAGTGACATAGTGACACTATGTCTCTATAGGTGACTTCTTCAAGTACCATCTTATGTATCACTCCTCACTATCACTTCATCCTTTACTTTTCTCATGGCAGTTTTGGAAATAGAAATTGCTTATTTACATTAGTCCGGCCTCCTCCGAAACTCTAGACAGTGAACTTCATGGCAAGAACTGTGTAGTTATGTCTGACGCCTGGAACAGTCTGGCACAACATAGGCGCTCCCTATTTCTTGAGCAGATAAAATAGTCCCCATTCCACAGATGAGGCTTCCCTCATAGCTCAGTTGGTAAAGAATCCGCCTGCAATGCAGGAGACTCCGGTTCGATTCCTGGGTTGGGAAGATTCCCCTGGAGAAGGGAAAGGCTACCCTACCCACTCCGGTATTCTGGCGTGGAGAATTCCTTGTACTGTATAGTCCATGGGGGTCACAAAGAGTCGGACACGACTGAGAGGCTTTCACTTTCATGCCACAGATGAGAAAACCGAGGCCCGGTGCGAGGTTTGCCCCGGGTTTCTTGAGAGCCCTGGTGTCAGGCTTCGAAGCCACAATCTCCCATCCCGAAAGCTGTGGCTCCAGAAGTCTCTCCCGCCGAGGGCAGTCTCCCGACCCCAGCAGGACGCGTATTTTTAGCCGGGACAACAAGCCCCGGGGCACCACACGTGCAGCCACGCGCTGCCCGGCCCCACGTGCGCTTCCCCAGTCCCGGAGTACCACCCCACCCCGCCCCCGCCAGGCAGGCGTCCCCTTTCCAGCTGCTGCCGCTTCCAATCCCGGTACCGGCGCGCCCTCTGCCTGCCGCTTCGGGAGGCGGCCTGCCCTGGCTTCTCTGTCCTTCCGACTGCTACCCAGCCCGCCCCACCACTCCAGCCCTTTCGTAGTAAAACAACTAAATCAAGTCCAGGATGTAAAGGATACAGAAATGACCACCCGCTTTTAGACTATTAAGGACCGACTTACCTGTGTCCTCCCTGGCTTCCCTGGTGGCGGTAGTGGTAAAGAAACTGCCTGCCAATGCAAGAGAGGTAAGAGACGCGGGTTCAATACCTGAGTTGGGAAGATCTCTTGAAGAAGGGAATGTCAACCCATTCTTGTCTAGAGAATTCCATGGCGGACTATTGTCCACTTCAGTGTCAAAGACTGAAGCAACTTAGAATGCACACCCCAAGCTCCAGGAATAGGAGAAGTAGGAGACCAAGCCTGGGGGAGGCAAGCAAGGTAACTCACAGTGTGACCCAGGCAACTGAAGAAAAACCACAGAAACGCGGGGAAGGTACAGAGGGAGCTCAGGTGTGGACTGGAAGGTTAGAGGGTGAGAGAGAGGAAGCTCACAGGAAGGGTGAGCCCTGTTGGTAGTAAAACTGAAAATGTCAGGAGACCAAGGGTGGAATGGTGCTACAGGAAAAAGACTTTCGGCAGACGAGGCATGAAACAATACTTAGACATGCAGCAGTTATAAACTCTCCTTCCCCTTGGATAAGAAGTAGCAGGTGCCACAGAGATTTGCAAATTACTACCCCTGTTCAGTTGAAGGGTTTGTGCATGTAGTTTTCCTGTTATTTCATTATTTTTAACTGCTGTAGATAACAAGGGCTCCAGGTTTCCTCCTCTTTCTGTCCCTCTCTTTCTGTCATTTCCTGCCCACCTGCAATCTGGCCGATCTTGTTCACTGTTAATAAATAAATAAAACCCCTTGCCTGCTCAACTCTTGCTCTGCATCTCTCCATCAACTTAACAACAAACTTCCTGAAAAACAAGTCTTTACTGTCTCTACTTCCCCATCCTTCTTTCATACCCCACCAACCCAAACCTGGTTTCTGTCCCCAGCACTCCACTGAGATGGCTTTGGCAATGGTCCACAACCTCTTCCTGAGACATTCAGGACCTGGTTTGGGGTTCTCTTTCAACTCCAACCACAGAAGTGTTCCTGCCAAAGCTTCCACAGCCTAATCTTCCTCCATGCCTTCATACCTGTCCTCCTGTGCCTTGTTCTCCATCAGCCTCAGTCTTTCCTGGACTGTCTTCTGCTCCCTGCCTTCTGTAGGACATTTTATCCTTTCTCCTGATTTTGATGACTCTGCTACTGATGGTTCTTAGACCCTGTGTCTCCAGCCCTGAGTCTTTCCCACCTTCTTAGCAGACTCTGAGACAGGCATCCTCTAGCCAACTGCACCTTGGGCTTCTGAAACCTAAGTCCTCATCCAGGTTCCTCTTTCCCCACTCCCATGCTGATTTATGTCACCATTTATCCACAATCATTCCTTGGCAGCCATTCATTCTTTGTAGAACAGTTTCCCCTGGATGCCCAGGCTCAGCACAGCAAATGTGAAGATTTATGGTACCAAATTGAAATATTTGAATGATTTACAAGATACCGTTGCCTCTGTCTGGCTCCTAGAACCAAACACTCAGCAACTTTCCCCTCTGACTTTCTCCATGCAGCCCAAATCAAGGTCTGCTTCTTCTTACACTTGCTCTCTTATTTCTCAGCTGCTACCAAGTGTTTCATACTTACAGCTCCTTCTTTCTTCCCCCATTTGCTCTTTAGCTAGTGTTAGCTCTGCCCTCTCCTTTTCCAGGTTTTGCTAGCACTCGGCCAAATCCTTGACCTTTTCTCTACCCTCTCTCTACCTCCTGTCCTAGCTACTGTGTCTGATATTACTTCCTGCCTCCTTCTTGAAACCTCCTCGTTGTCTTGCTTGATTTTTTGTTTTTGTTTTTTTAAAAAACTAATTGCAGTAAGAGTTAATATTATTGAGCACTTAGTATATGCCACATGCTATGTTAAGCACGTTCAATGTCCTCATTCATTTACTCCTTACAACAGTCCTGGGAAGTGGCTACTAGTATAATTATGCCCATTTTCCAGATAAGGAAACAGAGGTGTGGTGAAGTTAAGCAGTCAGCCTATAATCAGACAGTTGTGGAACAAGCCAATCTGAGAATCCAGTGCAGAGTAGCCCACCTCCAGAGCCCAGCTTCTAAGCCATCAACCTCCTTCAACTGTGCTGGGACTCCACTTTTACATCTTCCCTAACAATCCCTTGGCCCCACTTTCCCTCCAGTCCTTTCCATATGTCAGACTTTTCCTTCAAAACTAATTTTTTTAAACTAATTTTTTAAATTTATTTTTAAAAATTGAACTATAGTTGAATTGGGGCTTCCCAGGTAGCTCAGTGGTAAAGAATCCACCTGCCAAGCAAGAGACAAGAGTTCCATCCCTAGGTTGAAAAGGTCCCTTGGAGAAGTAAATGGCAACCCACTCCAGTATCCGTGCCTGGAAAATCCCATGGACAGAGGAGCCTGGTGGACTTCAGTTTATAAAGTTGCAAAGAGTTGGACGTGACTGAAGCAACTAATCAACAGCAACAACACAGCTGAATCACAGTGTTGTGTTAATTACTACTGCACAGCGAAGTGACTCAGTTATACATGTATACACATTATTTTTCATATTCTTTTCCATCATGGTTTATCACAGAATATTGAATATAGTTCCCTGTGCTGTTACAGTAGGACCTTGTTGTTTATCCATTCTATATATTCCAGCCTTCAAAACTAAATTTCTTTTTTTTTTTTTTTTTAAACTAAATTTCTTAAAAGACTGTTTGTGTTACCCAGGCACTGCTTCCTCCCTTGGGGGCGGGGGGCGAGTGTACATGAGGAAAGACACTGACATCTGCCCAGTTACTTAGTTCAAGGGGTACTTTTTTGCCTTTGTTCTTTCACCTCTGTCTATGTGACAGATGTGATTGGAGACCATCCCCATCTCAGACTTCTTCATGGACTCCTCGGTCTTTTATTTGTCCCTTCCTAAAGGCCAGAGTCCCCAGTTCTCCTGTCCTAGCTCTATAACCTTTGGAGAACTTGTCCGCTCACACTGCTTCAGCGATGACCTGTTATGGGTAGAACTGTGTTTCCCTAGAAAATGTGTAGGAGCCCCA